GCTTAACGATGAGCACAGCGGGCCACGTCCAGGTCAAGAGCCCCAAGAAGGAGCTCAAAGCTCCGAAAAAGGAGTGGTCACAAGGGCGGCCTGGAATTTCTTCCCGGACCTCGACATTTAAAGTTTGAATGTGGGACAAGCTTGGTGACCATCTCCAGCAGTTGTGGAGGCTTTTGAGAAAGTAATAGAAGTAGAAGTAGAAGAATCTGTGGGCGCAGTCCTTTGGGAGCAAAACGACACCGTGGATGTGCTCTCTTCCTTCGGTCTTTCCGGCGCAGGAGGCGAAATCGGACTCCGAGGAAGAGCTGGATCTGATCTGGGAAGCTGATTGGACGGACCCAGAGGCGCCAGGAAGAGCTGGGTCAGACGATCAAGGATCAAGCCAATTTTGGGGAACTTCTGGAACCCGCCAGAAATGGACTTTCCTTTTGGTCTCATCTTCCAGAGATCTGTTCTCCCAAAGACACCTGTCAGCTTCGCACCCAGCCTGCCAGGCACGACAGCAGGTGGTGAAGCAACTCTCGGAGTCGGAGGTGCCACGGCCCGTGGAGGTGCGCTGTGCCATGGAGCGGGTGCCGAGTCCAGCAGCTTGATCCGTGATGGACCATGATCCATCAGGGCGTTCTTTTGCAGTATCTTTTCAGATGATGGCCTGATGCTGCTTTTCTTGGCTGTTTGGTTGCTCTTCACAATCTCACTGAACGCAGTTCCTGCTTTCAGTTTCCGAAAGTCCAAATGAGACCTCCTAAAAAAACCACTCCAACCCACACTCCAGCCATCTGCAGCCATCCTCCAGCAGCGCTTGTTCAAACGCGTGGCGCTTCGCTCAGCGGAAGAAACCCCTTCCGCCAGGTCTTTGAGCTCAGTGATACCCCGACCTGGCTGGCGCGGCTGCAACACCGCCGGGTGCAAGCGCAACGCTCGGGGAAGTTGAAGCGGGGGGGCCCGGTTTCGGTGCGGGGTGCTCTGCCCAAGGCTACCCAAAAGGTCCATTCAGATGACGAAGGAGACCTGACCCCCCCGACGGCGCAGAGAAACTGGAGACTTCACGTTTCAGTGTTGGAGACGGATTTCGGAAGGACCACCACTGTACCAGAGGTGGTGGCCACCGAGGCTTGTGTAGTGGGGACTGTCGGGGTGGTTGAGGAGGGCAGCGCAAGGTCCTGCTAGTGACGGCTACTTAGCAAGGCAGATTGTGAACTTAAGCTCGACGTTGGGATGTTTGATCAAACTCAAGCGATCCCAGCTTTGGAAACCTCCAAAGCTATCAGTGTCCTTGCTTGGCTAGTGGCTAGTGTAGACGTCACCCTGTTGTTTCTAGTGGCTAGTGTCCATCGACCGCGTCTCTGTGTTAGCCCTTTGTCCGGCTTCTGCTTCGCTGCACAAAGGACAACTCCTCGCCGTCCGCTTCGGCCGCACATCCCTCTGGCCATCCGTCAAACGGTGCCCTCCACTGTTTGAGGTTGGTCCACAAGCTGGACAAGGAGATAGAACATGCCATGAAGACGGTCTCAGTGCCAGACCCAGGCGCGACAGATGGCGACAGACTAACGGTGGCACGACTTTGGGGTGAACGATGTTCAGGGTGAAAGCAGAGCGTGGCACCCGAAAAGCGCCATGGTGGTCAGAGTGACACCAAGAATCGAGAAGCACATCCATCCTAGAAGGTCCTAGATTGAAACCTTCTTCGATCTATTTTGACTTGTTCAATTGAAAAAACGTTTCAATGGGGTTGTGTATTCCATTGTCCTATTATAACTGTTCTATACTGTTATTTTTCCCTTGCTGATAGTTTTTTGTTTATTTTTTTTGATTTGTTATTGTAATTTGAGCAAGGACTTTTGAGTGTTGACGGAGCCCATGCCTGAAGTCAGATCCACAAGGAAGAACAGCTCGGTTGAATGACGTGACACGTTTGGATTTGATGAGGATGCTTGGACAAGAAGACCATGTTTATGCCGCGTTGATGCACCGAATGGAAGGACACTCTTCCTGCAAATCTCCTTTAACTTTCATGGGTTGAACCTCCAAATGGTGTCGCCATGTGCCCCAATCCTAGCATTCCCCTGCGACCGTGTGTCGCCAGGTGCTCATGTCAGGCTGGCGGCCGGCAAAGAGGCCGCCGAGGCGGGGATCGCGGGGATCGCTGAGCGTGGTCAGGATGACCTTGGAAGAAAGCTGGTGGAAAAGTCTACCTACTCCAGATTGGAGATGATTGAGGCCTGCTGAAATCACAATGTCAGTTCTGCCAGGTGCCAGAAGATGACATTTGGAGCATGGACTGGTCCGCCTTGAGACCTGAAGCTGTGCCGGTAGCTGTTGCATAGCGCCTTTTTTGAAGGCCTGAGACGAACCGAACCAGTCTCACCGTCTCTGGCATTCCATAGGTGAAGAGTTTCACAAGACAGCAGGATCAGTCGCCACTGAAAGGTGTCCCACACGGCTAAAAGCCTGGCGAGAAGGTAAGAAAGAGCCTTTTCAAATGGCATGCATGGTACCACCGTTTCCACTTTTGGCACATCCATACCACTAGACAGATACTGTAATAAAGAGGAGACAAATACAGACTTGCTTCACACATGGCTTCTTGGAAGTTCTTGCTCCGCGCGCGCGACCTCCCGCGGCTGCGCAGTGCGCCGCTGTGCGCCGCTGTGCGCCGTCAGTGCTGGTCGTGGAGGGACATCCTTTCGGAGCGGGCGTTTGGCCGTCCCAAATTCACGTGCTGCGAAAAGCGGAGCCGTTGAGCGTGTTTTGGCGTGTGTTTGTGCCGCTTCGCAAAGCTTCCTTAACCTTTCTTGGTTTATTCAGTAAGGAAGTCGATAACCTCTGTTTATTTTGTACCCCTCTCGCTGGGGGGTCTTTGTTTTTTGGGACAACCTGTGCAAGCAGTCTGAGAAACCCTCGTGCTTTCCTTTTAGAATGGTCAGCCGATATTCTTCATCGAAGGACGTTTTGATGAGTATATACACGTTGCAGCTGAGAGCCATTGAACAGATACACGTATAGAATGTATATTCATATATATATATATATGTACATATAATATAGAATGTAATTAGATAGATGGAAAACAAGAAAGAAAACCGGTATAGACAAGTCAATGAGACCGAGGAATGAGACCCCACGAATCATTCATTCAGCTAAAACAAATGACAGAGATGAGCACCCCCATCTCCATCCTCACTCTCGGAAAGCGTCAGCTTCGTTGGTGGACCGTAAAGGTAAGTCTTCCCCCCCTGCCGCGCATTTGTTTGGGTGTTAAAACAAATCGCCCAAACAAAGGGCAAAAGTCGATGCAAACCAGAACCCCCGGAGGGTTAGAACCGGCAAATCAAATCCACCGAAACGGAAGAACCCCAAACCCCATAAAGAGAAGAAGAGAGAGTTCCAAGCTACCGAAAGAGACACTTCCGGTTTTACAGGGAGGATTCGGAAGGACGGAGAAGAGAGGAAGCCCCCAAAGACGGCGAAAGGGAACCACACAACCTGACGTTTTCAGCTGCCGGGCTGCCCGAATCACGATGACCCTCGGGTCATATTTGGTGAGTGTCTATGGTGCAAACAACATTCACACATATTTATATGTTATATAAGCATACAGGATCTCTATGCCACGAATTGACGGACACACACACACACAGATCACCGTTGTTTAATAGGAGGACCAGTCACGCGTTGCTTCTCTTTTGATGAAGATCGGCCATGTTTGCCCTCAAATCCTCAAACGAGACCAAAACAAGATTCCCCGTTCTTCCTCAATTCCTTTACACCAAGGTTTTCCGAAACATTACAAGCTCATACGAGTGCTTAGGTACATGTCGTATGCCGGCACAATCCTTAATTACAAAGCTCGTGCTTGCAAAGCTACGGGATTCCGAATCAACAACTCCGGTTGAGGTGCTCAGAACGTGTGCTATTTGAACGTGTTTTCCCTTGCAGAGAAAGCCTCTCGCGTCTGACATTGGAAGACCTTGAATGCTTAGTCATCCAGTGCCCAGCTTAGTCATTCAATGCTGTTTTCCACACGTTGATCAAAAACATGCGTTTTGCATGTAATTAAGAACATGTTTAGCTGCTAGTTTAGCTGTTCTGTGATACATGAGTTGAAAGTCCCAAATTCCTTTGTGTTCTCCAGTAGCTTAATTACGAGCGCCTGTTTGTCTTTCAGGACACTCTTGTCCGGTGCCACGGCAACAAACGCCAGCTTGTAATAAAGGACCATCAACCTCTCCATCCTACTTCCAGGTGCCAGCCTAGGCCTCCGGAAAGTTTCCCTTCTCAGCCGTTCTTCAAGTCCGCGCCTGATTGTGGTTGATACTCTTTTGTCTCTTCCGGTCCCGGAATTTTCCAGGGCCAGCTTAGTTTGTTTTGGTTTCTCTGGTGCTTTAGTTGGTTGCAATTGACATCAATACGCATGTCTATTTTTTTTGAAGAAAGGCAGGCCTTTCTTTTGCTTGGCACTGTAGGCGTAAGGTCAGTGCAAGCGTTGTGAAGAGGTCATAGTCTACTAACCTGCTACCTGTATCCCCGTCCCTCGGAGGTGAGGCGGTATTTCTCAGAGGTGTTGTGTGTTGACACAGGACATCGTTCGAAGGATCATGTCTCAGGGCTTGAATCAAAAAAAAACCAACCTGGAGGACCTTAACAAGCGTCCAGGGCCCTGATTAAGCCAGGTAGAGACAAACCACAGGACCAATTGAAAGAAGATTTGGCATACGAAACGCAGAGTTTTCTGCCTGGGGTTGGTTGTTCCAGCATATGTAGACTCTAGCTTAGTGTAATGGACACTGTTTGATCGCCCTTTGCCTCCCATTTCGTTACATCAAAGGACGACCACACAATTTCGCCGTGCCACTGTCGCTCGCACGTGACGTCAACATACACATGGCACTTTGCATGGCGTCGCGCCATGACTCAACACAAAGAAAACCCACCAGTTTTTGCCGCCTTCCCTTCAAAACCGTATTTTACGCCAAAACTGCCGCTGGGAGGGCTGGTATGTTTTCCCTTCCGTGCAAGCTGGATGTTTTTGATTTGACTCATTGTGGCTTGCAGCGTATTTTGTGCTGTAGCTGTAGCTTTGAAGCTCTCCTTTTGCACTCGCGCGATGGCAGGACTGGTTGTTTTTCGCGTCCAGGGGTGCGCTTAATGGTTAATCCATGGTGGGTTAGCTGACATGCGGGTAACATGTGAGGGCTGATCTCACTATACCGCCAAGAGTGGGTTTACAGTGTTTCTTTTGGAGGGATCCAGGGTTGTGGTCACAGCTTTCGCAGGTGTGGAAGTACTGACTGAGCCACTCCACTGATAGAGAACACTGTGAGGAAAGGTGGACAGAACCTTTCTTTTTCTAGAGTGATTAAGAAAGAGCAAATGACCCGCAGGAATTGGTTTTGCGCTTGAGGCGACTCCCTGTGGAAGCAAGTGTTGAGGGAAATACACATTGGAGACACCCATTTAGCTTTGAGTGAGAGTTCTGGTTGAACTGCAGGTTTCATCATTGAACAATTATCGATGGCCACCACTTGTAGGTTATTGGACTGATGTCTTCTCAGATCCCGAGTGGTTTGACTCGTCACCTCGTTCTGCTGGCGAGTCGCTTTCAAGATGGAGCTCTCGCGGCCAGCGCCCTTGCAGCTGCCATCAGGCGGAAAAAGTGACTGGTTGGAAACGGAGCCTTTGGATGATGTTGTGTTTGAGACTTGGGGATGGGTGAAAACCTGGAGCCCGACCTGTCCACCATGCGGCTTGACTATCGCCGGTGGGTCAACCATTTTAGGAAGAAGCTTCGTGAAGTGTGGAATCAGGGTGGCAATCTGGATGACCTTGTTCCACCCGTTCCACGTAATTGGATGCTTTAATTTGTTGTCGCAATTCGTCTTCCAAGCCATCTTGTGCCGCGCGGAAATTCGGTTTCACGTAGTTAGGGTCTTTTGATGGTGCGGCAACTTGGTGCAGGTGCCAATTTGTATATTTGGTGTGTGGGTACAACACCTATGCACGTGGGCAATTTCACATACTCCCAGGTACCCATCAACTGATGAAGGGCCTTTGGGAAGCGCTTTGGATCGTTGCGCAAGTTCCGTCGGTGGGTCAACCAAGGTATCCTGGTGCCATGACCGGAGACCCATTTCCGCTTTGATCAGATTGGCTGGGCCAAAACTAGAAGCTACTAGGAACACAGGGCATCGCTACTAGGAGCAAGGATGCTACTAGTAGCTCCTAGCATTACTAGTAACAAGAAGCTACTAGTCTTCTGCCATACCTCCTAAACTTGGCGCCTCATCGGAGGTGTTCTTGACTCCTTGACCTACATGTTCCTGAGGGTTTCCCACCAGCTTTTACTGGGGACCCCTGCCGTTCTACTGGTGAGTTTGAATTTTAGGCACTTGCCAGGTCCGCTTTTTCGATCGAATCTGGTCCACCGAACGATCCGTCGGCAGAACCGCCTTCGCCTGCTGGGTCGCTGGTCTTTACGTCCAACTCTGAGGAATTGAAGAGAAAAAGACACCTGTTTTTAGAGGATTTCATGGTCATCCTTAAGTGGACCATGCCATCCACTTCCATGATTGTTGGAGAGAGAGAGAGAGAGTGTGAGTGTGATACAGTACTCTGGTTTTTCGCAGCTCAGAAATGGATTTGCTGAGGCCAGGAAATGCCCCTTCCACATATTGGAGGACTACCATTTGTGTGGATCCCCAACAAGAAGACGAAAGGCAGTTGATGGTCCGTCGCTGGGTCGCCCCTGTGGCGTGCCTCTTAAGAGGAGGCGAGGGTTTTTCATTTGCATCTTGGCAGTCCAGAAAGAGAAGACTGAGAAGACTGAGAAGACCAAGATATCAACCAGCAGTTCCAAAGGAATAGTTTTTGATCTCTAAGTGAATGGATAAGGGGCACCCCTACCCTTCAATGGACCCATTCGGAACTCCTGGAACCTGGGATTTTCGGTCTCGGGTCCCTTTCACAGCTTTCTGAGGCCCTGGTGCTCCATACAAGCGCGACCAGTGGGGAGACTCAGATTGCCGAGGTCTGTCAGAACAAAGCTGAGGGGCACTGGCAAAGGCCAGCAAGTGTTTCAGGGTGTTGCTGACGAACTTCGCGGGACGCCTTTCCAACTTAAGGGGTGTATTTGGGCGGTCCGAATGGTCTCCAGCATCAGCCATATGTTCCGGAAACTCCGGAGTTCTTAGTCGCTCCCGGAAGGTATTTTAACATGTGGACTCGAAACCTCGAACACTCCAAGAGCTTGTGTCCTTGTGTCCTTGTGGGTACTAGACCAAAATCACACGAAAGAGGTCAACCAGAGTGGACCGGACGCCTTGGATCCCGGGCCGAGGCGCGCGGGATCCACCCCGAGGCCGGCACCGGTAGCGGTGGATGTTTTTCACAGACACCCTCTGGTCGCAGAGTCGTGGAAAAGAGGAATGAAAAGAGGAATGAATCTAGGATGTCTTCCTTCACATGAAAACACAAGATGTTTTTGGCACCCTCTTAGTGGCCGAAAGTGGAAAAGAGGACAGTTCTTCTCCACTTGTTCACCCGACTTGTGATGTCTTTTGCCAGGTCTGGGCCCCCGACTCCAGCAGTGTCGTGGCCAAGCCCGTTGGAAGCTGAGATGAGCTGTTAGTGTATTCGGATGGGACCGTGGGAGATCAAAGGACCTGATATGAACGGAGTCTGTTCCTGCATGAGATTTTACCATGAGGTAATTGTCATTTTGGGACCTCGCGTGCCTGGGGTTGGCTGTCCAAGGACCAGCTTGGCCTTCGAGCCTAGCTTTCAGCTTACGCCCACGTGAGGGCGCCAAAGAAACGGCAAAGGTGTGCATTCTTCAACCACCAAGGATCCTTCATCTCAGGGTATGCTTGATCCGCAGTTCAACAAGAAATGTTCGGAGTGGAATCATCCTGGAGTGGAGGACAAACATGATTCCTTGTTCTACGTATCCAAAAACACTTATATACAGTATATAAACTTCAGGATGACTACCTTAGCCTGCAAAACTACCCGGGATTGCCTGAGCCAAAGAAGTGGACTTTCAAATACAGGCGAATCGAGAACTTGGTCTCTCTGGCTTGGACCTAAAAACAGGGCAATCATGAGCAACTCTCATGGGCAGATGATTCTTGTTGCAAACAATCATGTTTCTGCTTAACCTGCATTCGTTCAGTAGTTATTTTGACTGCCGGGTTGTATGGGATATGGTTGCAGGTGACCCTCGTTCCCAAACGATGCAGTGGCCACCCTCTTGAGACTGGTCAAACCATGATCACTCCTATTGCACATGGCTACGAATGAATTGAACCGAGCACGCTGATCTTGCCCGCCCATGCAAATCAGGGCGGGGCAGCTGACATGGTGACCCTGATAAACTGAACAATTGGACAAGCCATTGGAATGTTGGAATCCCCGAACGTTTGTAGCAAGGCTGGTAGACTAGCAAACCAACACTGTTAAGACCTGTGATTGACCTCGCACACATGCTTCTGCGTTCTCTGGAAGAGCAAGCCAAGCGATTTGGCCCAGGAATACTTTGAGCTCTGCTTTTCCAGAGACATTTTTCAGGCGCGGAGACCTGCACTTCTGAACTTCCCGGAAGCAGAGTTGCTGGGCGAGTCGCTGGGTGACGGAAGCCAATTGGATCTGGTGTCCCTGGTGCGGGTGACACTTCACCAACTCCAGCAGTCTGTGTCGGTTCCTCCGTCCCAGGCTGACCCCAAAGAAGAAACCTGATGGCATGGACCACACTGGAAGACCAGCTTCCTCCAGTTGCACCTTGAGTGGTGTTGAAACGTCCCTTCGCTTTCCTCTTCCCTCCGCTGTACCGAGAGCTCCCCTTCTTCGAGTGGCGCTCCGCTAGTTGTGGGGCGCTCCGCTAGCACGAGGCCCACGAGGCCAACGCTGCGGCGTGCCTGTACCTTGCCCCCAGCACATGAGACGGTGGATTCGGACGACGACGAGGTGCGGACGAGACGAACTCGCGGACCGGGGTGGATGACCCTCGCTGTCCGGTTTGCAGTTTAGAAGCGGTGCTTGATCCCGGCCAGGAAGTTCTTTGCACAAAGGAAAGAGGCTCCTAGGAGCTTCAGAGAGATCGATTCACCTTTTCGGCCCCAATCTCGCCCCTTGGAAGACTCAAATATTCCAATGACCAATGCCTGTCTCTCCCACCGAATTCAGGCGCCTCGGCGGCCTCACTCCATCCACACACGACCGATGGCTATTCATTTTAACAGTGCCAGAAGCTTGAGATCTCGAGCTTCTACGGTCGGATCGAGCCTGGCTTCCTCTGGAAAGACACACGAAATCATCGGACCCTTCTGCTGCCGCACATCCCTGATGTCCGAATTTTCCCACTGACGCCGAATTTCACCGACAAAAACAGGACAGTCATCGTGTGTGTCGAAGAATGAGGATGCCAAACTCTTCCATCACCATTCTAAGTCTTTTTTCCATTTCATGCTCCCCCCCCTTCTCGTCTCCGCCCCCAGGAGCTGCTGGACTTCCAGATCGATCGCACTGTCTCCGAGCCTCACGTGCCTCAGGTGCACCGTCTAAATGTGGAGGGGGGGGGGCAGGAGACAACAAAGATTAGGGGTTGTTTGCTCAGTATTAAACAATATATAATAGAATAACATAGTAAGATTTAAACAGATATGATATAATATGATATAATATAGTATACTACATAAACGGCTGGAAACGGCAGTAGATGGGTGATCAGTAAGTGCTTGAGCTCAGGATAGACAGACAGAGCCGATCCACAAGCACACTAGGGACAATTTGGAACCACCTGCAATTTAGCAAGCATACAAGCTCCAACCAGTACAAAGATTTACGGTTCCGCAGTGGATGCAATCCATCATCAAGACTTGCAAGGCTTTGATTTCGCTTTTTTTGTTCCCCGTCAAAAACCACCCGCATCTTCGGAATGTTGATCATTCTCTCCGCTCCGACTGGGTTGCGCGTCCTTGTTTGGTGGGAGAACCCACGGGCCCTCTTCCGGCCAGGCCGTATGGAAGGCCGGTCGGTGGGTCGGTCGGTATTTCGCGTGCCAATTGCCGAAAGTGGTGATGAGAAGGGGGAAGCTGGGCTTGCGGCTTTGGACTTTGGACTTGTTCTTGTTGTTCCTGCAGTGTGCAACAACAAGTGGTTGTGGTTGTTGTCGTTGTCAAACACACCCTTTCGACATGTTGGAGGTAGATGTGAGTCAAGTACCCCAGCTGGCCCAGGATAAATCTAGTTCACCTCTTAAGGAGTGTGGAGTTGTGACACTTCAGATGTGAAGATGTGTGTCGCACTGCGTCAGAGAGCATTCCACTACCAGTTGAAGACGTGGAGGTTAGTGAAGTAGCAAAAAGGGTTAGACACAAGAAGATCCCGCCAACAGTGAGCGAAGAAGAGTATAATACCCAGATGTTGACGCTTTTGCCTTTCAGGTTTTGGTGTACTTTTTGCCTCAGAGGCAAGACTGGTGAAGATGATCATAGGTCAGTTGGTGACCGACCAGCAAGTGAACTTCCAAGGTTTTGCAGATTATATACAGTTTCTTCTCACGGTCGTTTAACAAGGACACTTTAGACATTGAGGAGCTCAAGACAGAGCCCAAGGCAAACGAAGAGTTGATGACGAATTTGGAGGACATGTTGAGAGCAGACGTGCTATTCTCTCAACTCTTTCTCCAAAGATGACCAAGCACTTTGCCGTCGATCTTGGACGTCGAATTTGGAGGACAAGCAATGAAGGGGAAGCTTTTGAACAGAACCATCGAACACATACCAGGTAGTATCGGCTTCAACTTCGTCCGCATTTGAAGTACGCCAAAGAGATAACCCAACTGGGATTGCAAGGCGCAAGAGGATCGGATCTTCCAACGTCAACAGGTGTTGGGCGCACAACGTCCGAGAGCAGTTTCGGCGCTTGGATAGACCCGCCATCCAGTGTGCAGCTTGTGAGCGATGTCCCTGGCATGTCCCAGCCAAAGGTGATCGATGGCGTCGGAGCAAAGGACGAACGAAGCATACGATTGAAAGTTGGATATTGCTACTAGTAACAAGTGCATTAACTACTAGTAACTAGTAGCAAGAAGCTACTAGTAACTAGATCCAAGAGGCCCCGAAGGAAGTGTGGGTCTCTCACAGGCTCCGACTGGGCAGCCGACGCCACTCGAGGATCGATGCCTTGCAGCGTGGAGGGATTTGGTGAGCGCCTCATGGACCATGGACCTTGCGAACGGCAAAGTGCAGAGGCTCCAAGTTCCGGTGAGACAGAGCACTACGCGATGACACGTGGTGCCGCCAGTGGAATCCACACTACCAGCCGTTTGAAGGCCTTGGATACAAACTGTTGCAAGTCATGAAGTGTGACTCCAGTGCTGCGCGAGGCATTGGGTCAATAAATGCAGGAAAAAAAGCAAAGCGCTTGAGTATCAAACGGCTCTGGCTTCAAGACCATGTGTGCAGTGGGGACATCAAACTCGACAACATTGAGACGTTGTTCAACTGGAGTGACCTTGGAACATAGGCACTGACATGGGAAAGGTCTTCTAGCCTCATTAGGCAGCAGACACCTCTCAAAATCGTCACATTAATTGACAAGCGTAGTCCAGGAATGAAAGGAGAGTGAGATGAAGCAGCAAAGGATGAGACAGACTTTGATGTCGTTTCCTTCCTGTTTGTCATGGTGGCTATGTTATGTTGGTGTTGTTGGTGATGGTCGGGCATGCGTCTTTCCAGGAAGACGGTCGGCGCCGGCGCACGCGATTCCACATGTCAACCAGGACATCCTGGTCAAGATGAAGAGCCACAGATAGAAGACTTGGTTGACACAGACTTTAGTGAAGAGTTTTCATGTGACTCGCGGGTATAATATGACTTATTTTTCAATCTCGAGCTTCTCCCATCTTCTCTCTACTGTCCGACCCTTGAGCTTCGCCCGGATGGCTCGTCCAGCGATCTCCGCGCTGCGGCGCTCCGGTCTGCGTCGCAGGATGTGGACCTGCAGAGGACTCCGCCTCCCAAGGCCGCGGCCTCAGTGTAGCGACCGCCCCCGAAGCACTGCGTGGGAAAACGGGGATTGAGCAGATTCGCCGAAAGAAGCGGACGAGGACTGTTGCGTTCAGCATGGGTGGAAACACCACATAACTGGGGCCAACGTCTGAGTTGTGTGTCAAGAAAGGATCGGAAAGGGAATTAATTAAGTTGGGCCAGAAATAGCTTTGGGAGGACCAAAGTGATGCTCCATGGTGAAGGACAAAGTGATTCAAAGATCGTGGCTTTTCCAACGGCCTTTGGTTCAAATGCTCCTCTTTTTGTGTCACATCGTTTTTGACACCTCAGAGAACCACTTTCTTAGATCATAGTTTTTTTCCCCTAATGTCCGGTTGCACTTGCCGAGGTGATTGAACACGCGATACCCGATACCCTGAGAACTGATTTGGAGTCGGTGAGAACTCGTGTTGACCTCTTCGTCCATCCGGGCAGCTCGGGCTCGCTGAGGCGGGTGAGGACATGCTGCACCGTGACGCGACGAGCCAGGGGTCCCCAGCTGGTGCAGCCCATCGAGTCGTCACGGCGAGACCGTGAGGATTCTTGTCGGAAGGTGTTTGGCTGGGCTGTGCATGTGGTGTGGCCATGTTTGGCGACGGTGACAGGCTTGGCATTTGGGCTCGGTGGAAGTAGACCTTGTGAAAGACTAGGGACCTCTTTCACTTTCCAAATTGGACGTGTTGCAGGAGATTTCGTTCTCCATTCAGCTCTGCCTGCTGGCAGGGTCCACAATTGGATGGAGCGATCACAAAAACCCAAGACCACTACATGGTTGTGGTCATGTCATTCAATGTCTTGCTTTTGTACCATGGGATTTATCCAAGATTTGTTCCATGTGCAGAGTATAACATTTATCGGGGCCCACCGAAACGCCGCGGCCGCCTGGCCCGCCGCTTGGCCCGTCGCTTCATGGCCAACGCTTTTCTCCAGGGACGCCGGAGGACAAGCTCCAAGGGGTTCGTCGTTTGCGTTGGGTGCCGGCCCGGGAACTCAGCCTGTGGCATGGGGCGACTGAAGACTGGAGGGTCATGGAAACAGAAACGAGAGCATGTTTGGGAAGAAAGGGTTTTGGGCGAAGTGAGACAATGCAATAGTTATTATATAAGTCAGAGAATTGGACAATTCAGGGTCATGAAGATGTGGGCTGAAAGACTCAACATGACTCAACCAAATTGATGAAGTTTTCTTGGTGAAGAACCATTCAGCATACCCATGCATACCTCAAAGACATGTCAATTGCGCGATACTTACGATCTGCTCCATATCAAGTATGCGAATATCCAGCAAGCTTAAGGTCCGCCTATCTTTTTAATGACACTTGGGGGGGTAGATTCTGCTTTCGGATGCGATCTCATGGAATCTTCCAAGGACGATTGAGAAAAAAAGTGGTTCATCAACATGGCGATCGCCCAGTGCAGAGTAGAACATGTTCTCCCTTCTGGTTTGAGAGTAGAACATGTTCACATGTATGAGCCCGTAAGCTGTTCTGGAATCGCTTTTAGACGATCGATGTGACCGACCCGTGATCCGCCGTGTTCCGCGTGGTGCCACGCGAACGAGGAGAACGGCAAATGTGAGCTCCCGAAGTAGCTGGTGGAGAACCAGTGGCGGGGGTTCTCGTATGGTGGGGAGAGAGCAGTGGGATGCGAGCTGCGAGCCCTTCATCGCTTCTGACCCCATCTGACTCCCTTGAGAGCAGCACCACTTCGTAGACCTCCGGATCGTTTGGGGAAGGAAGGAGTCTCGGGAGCAGAGGAAGGCCAAACAAAAGCAATTCGTAGCACTAGTGATATGCATATAGTGATGTCAGTAGATATTCGACTATTCCAGTAATAAAGGCATGCATTTTCCGATGAGCCAGCAGCAAGCTACAGCGTTGACGGATGTGTTTTGTGAACTGTAAGCACCAACTCAACCCTGCTGTTTGGAGGGTGGGGATGGGTGGGGATGGGTGGAGATCGGGACACACCTGCTAGACTCTTCAGATTTGACACCATGGCGGGGGCAAGTCATGCTTCCTCTTCAACAATCGCCTGGACTCGTCAGGTGGATGAGGATTCTGATGCGGATCCTACAATTCGTTGCATTAGACTGTGGCATACCGGTCCGCAAAGGTTGGAGATGCGGCCAAAAACACCACGTGCCATTAGTGCCATTCTCTTTTTTTTGCACATGTGCCATGCACATGAAACGAGGTGTCACCGGTTTGGCGATTCCCCCACGAATCTCTGCACTACCAGCCTTTGTTGAAGATCCGTAGGCTGCATAGGGGTTCTCTGCCGTGAACACGGCCGGTTCGGGGAGAACCGGCTGGTTCGGCGAGAGACAGAATTTGCAGACTCTGCAGACCGTGAGGATCTCCGCAGAGGTCGAGGAGCCGACACTCCCCGTCTCCAGAAAGTCTGGTGCACCGGAAAGTCAGGTTTAGTAGAAAGGTTTCGATCTTTCCATATTGTTGTAAGCAGCCTGGCATAGTCTGGCCTACTAGATTCTAGAGGTGGAGAGCCACAGATATTGTCACTTGAAGCACGTTGACCCCAAAAGAACATCATCCTAAATGCTTCGGACTGGATGTGCTAAACAGCTTGCCTTTTGGTCTCAAAGTTCTTTTCACAGAGCCAGAGCCATCGTTTCTGACGATCACATCAGACTGATCCATGTGTCGGACCATTCATGTGCGAAGGCGGACACCCTCAAATCCGAGGAACACAGATGCCTTGGTGCTCTTTGTGCAGACATTCTTCGGTGCTGATGGAGCCATCCGAATTTTCGGCCATCCGGGGGGTTTTGGGGTTCAACCAAAGTATGCTCTTCGAAATGATCCTAAACAGACTGAAAGCTTGGATGGCGGTAGTGTCAGGGGCTGAACAGATGTGCCCCTTGAAAAGCCTAAACTTGAAAGAGTGGGCTGCGTGTATGACTAGGGTTTGTTGAACCCACGACAAAGTTGTCATTTTAAGGCCTGGCAGGGCTTGAGCAACAAGTGCGCAAGCAGGCAAGTGAGCAGGCAGATCGCCATCTCGCCATCTGGCTGCCAATTCTAAGACCTTTTCCTGCCAGGTTGCGTCGAACTGGACCGTTGAGCGGGAGCGACCCGCTCCCGGCGGTCCAGCCCTTCAGCCCATCAGGATGAGGGAATCGCTTGGAGGACAGGGAATTTGGGTGTTGGATTCAGAAACACATAGCGAACCTTGTTACTACTAGTAAGGCACCTGTTACTACTAGCGTGGCACCAAGGAGCGTGCTCTTCACCTTGAATTGCCCTGAAGTTTTCGGGTCCTGCCTTGCTCGGAGTGTGGCCACATGGTTCAGCAAAGGACCTCAGCAAGGAACCTGTCATGGAGATGTGCTGAACGATTTGTCGGTTTTTTGGGGGGGCCGTAGTCTGATCTACGGCGAGGAGTGATTGTGGATGGCGTGAGGCCAACCAAAAAGGAGCGCCACCGCGAGCGGTTGGCCGATTTATCCACTTTGCATCTCTGCACCTTGAGTCGTAATATCGCTTGTTATGGGAAGATGGCATATCGAAAACACAATCCAACCGAAAAAAAGAAGCGGAAGGTGTCTAATCAACTATAGATTGAACTTCCTACGAACGTGAAATCCGGTGGTTTCTGGCAGTTTCTTCAGAGAAGAGGTTTGTCCAATCCGTCGATCGAAATTGCACCGTCCGGAACTCCAGATTGGCGAACGGACGGTTTCATGGGGCCGAAGGATGGGGCCGTTTGGCCGGGACGAATTCACCAGACGCAGACGGCCGTGAACGGTTCGTTTTGAGAGGAAAAGGACGGTTTATTCCCCCAATAGCTGCAAGCTATAGAGGTTCTTGCTCCTTTTAAAAAGGGGCAGGGGTGTAATTTATTTAGGTAACTTTGCAGCTCAAAAGTGAAGCATCAGGGTGAGCGAAGGGCATGTGAAACTATCTCTTCTCTTTTGCTGTTTATTTTCTCAAGCATTAGCCGTGTAGCAAACGAACGAAGATTTTGTAATATTTTATAATGCCTTTTGTGTCCATCCCCTTTCACATAGACCAAAGACCAACCTCATTTCATTCATTCTGAAGATTGTGCGCACTGTCGTTTCATGCTGTCTCAGAAAGCATTGTTTTAGTGAGTTTTCCAGCGTGTCATAGGCACGCCATCAAGAAAGAGGGTTGTCCCAAGCACCACATCTGTACCGGTATATGCGGCTCGTGATTCGCACAACCACTTCTACTGAGCCTATTCATCCTGTTGCAGACAGTCCTCATCCTGCACCACGGGCTTTTGCATGTTGAGATGTCCATACCCTATTGATATATGCAGGGGATTGAGTATCCTGGATAAGACGTTGTGGTTTCAAGAAGCCACAGGCACCCAATTCATGCAAATTCATGCAAATGATGCATGGACACCCTGAGAAACATGGGCTTTCGTACAACATCTAGTAGGAGATACCGTTGCTTCCTCGAGGGCCGAAGCGTGGGCCTCTTCCCAGTTCATCCGAACCATGGCACGGTCCAGCGCGTGGCCACGGCCATGGATGCTGCTCACGCTGCAGATCTTCCAATGTGTCGCCATGGAGCCTTGGAAGAAGTGGCCTTTCAAGAGCCCAAAGAGTTTGTTCCGCTTGCGGAAGGAAGGAGGTGCATGTGCACGGACCAGATCCGATCCTGTTTTGGAGGCCGAAACAGGGATCGATCGAGGGCGCGAAACGGCAACCACCGTACATCGGTCATAGGACGTCGGTCTCGACCGACCAGACCGACCAGCGTAGCCCCTGGAACCAGGCGAGGATGGACATTTTTCATGAGGATGAGGATGAATGAAGATTCAGCGCTTCATGCATCTCTGCTCGTCCAACCATGACGAATCTTTGATAAAAAAACATCCATTTTCTGCGAAGATTCAGCGCTTCTTCGAGGTGGAACCGGATCTCCATCGCTGGATCCCCTTCCTGCGGCCGCGCACGGTGCATCCGGGAGACCTCCAGGAACTTCGGGAGCAATACCGTGCCCCGGTCGACGCGAGGACGTCCCGCCGCGTTCGCCCAGAGAGGGTTTTGCTCAGGATCAAGGGCCACACGCCGGTCGCGTTTCGCAGGACAGGCATTGGTGCAGTGGTCCGGTGTTTTCGTTTTGGTGACGCCATGGCTGCAGGCCATGGGTGTAAAAGTGCTCGGACAGTAGCTGGACCGGTTCCGTTCGATGCTCGCGCGTTCCACCACCCCTGGTGGGCAAACAACCTTTTCAATCCTGGCGCGTGCAAAGGTTGCTGCGTGAGAGCTGCTGTGTCTAAACCAAGGTTTCCTTGGACTTGGTCTATTCTTCTGCACTTTCGACAGAGTCCCCAAGTCCGAATCAGATTGACCAACGTTTTTCTCCACCTGGTCTTAAAGAAGCGCTCCACCTGGTCGATCCTTCCTTTTCACTTTGACCCTTTGGAACCCCAGATCTGCCGGGAGCACCGGAGCACCGGAGCGGCGACCGAGGGGTCGTGGTGGTGATGACCACCATCCCCCAGCGCATCCAGTACACCGAGCCCGTGATCGATTCGATGCTCCGGCAAACCTGGCCGGCCAACGATGCTGGGACGAAGAGCAGGGCGAGGTATGGGTAAGATTTTGTTCCATCCATGGCAGATGTTGGATACATGGCAGATGGTGGATACATGGCAGGTGGATCCATGGCAGGTGTTGGATAGATGATGCAAGATGTCATGGAAAGAATCCGTGGTTTTGATTTGAGGATCATGAGAGGCTGAGACTCCCAGCGGTTCCTTCCCGGTTGGCGGGTGGCGCCGTCCAACGCACATGCCGTTCGCGGACGCCGCGCGACGCATGTTCGACGGAGTCCGATCCAGCAAACACGCGACGTGTGCTGTGTGCTCTGAGTGGCTGCTTTTCGCGTCAGGAGATTTACATGAGTGTGCCCTATGTCTACAACCGGACTGGCGAGAGCTACCAGATCCCATCCTGGATCCTGGGCGGAAGGGGTGGGGCGTCTTGGAAGAGATGAGCCAGGGGAACACGTGGGTTAAACCCATGAAAACCATCGAATCAAAACTCAAACCTCCAATTTTGGATGTTTTTCACAAGTAGGGGTTCTTCTTCCAACCCTTCATGACAGGACAGAGGAGGTGTAGGCCAAAATTAAGCCTGCTGGCCCGCACTTTGTAATCAAGGGCATGTGTTGCCTCTGTACCGCAGGTTCAGGTATGTTCGTGTAATCCTTACACTTGGATGAAGTCTTGGCACCTCTCATCAAAGAGCGAAAAATAACATACTTGCCAACATGACGATTAGTTTCATTTGTCCTCCAGTTCTTCAAATCGGTCTAGTAACAAAGGGCATTACTACTAGGTTACTAGGAGCAATTAGCCAAATAGCTGGTAACAAGAAGCTACTAGATATATAGCTACTAGCAGCAAGGACGCTACTAGTAACAGGGTGCAGGGTCTCCTCCAGTTCTGCTCCCACCCAAACGATCTGCTTCTTCCACCGGTCGAAGGCGTCGCTGTCCGGCTGAGGATGGCGTCGAAGCCGTCGCTGCGGCTCTTCCGCTGCGAGGATCTGGGGCCCGGGACCCACCTGCTGAACGGTTTACGACTGGAAGAGGATCCCTGGACCTTCCTGGTGGTGGTGGATGATGATCACATCTATGGAGCTTTGGACTGGGAAAGACTGGGAAAGACTGGGAGCTGGTGGAGAAAGAAGCATGGACTGAGGTGGAGTGAATGGTGGATGAATGGTGGATGAAGTGGTATGCCAGCCAAGAAAGTTATGGCGAGTGCCCAAATTCCACCTGACACTCCATTTTCTCTCATTGTAGGCTCCATTGGAGGCTCATGTTCAACTCTACACCAGGTAATTTGTCAATAGATCCTTGGAATCCATAGAATCGAGAAGACAAACATGTGTTGGAGCTTTGGTGTCACGGTGAGAAATGGTCTTTCCATGCTTTTCGACCACACCAACCACTTGTTCCTCAGAAACAGCATTTGTCCACCCTTTGTACAGCACCCCGCAAAGCTGGTGTTTGGACGCCTTGTGGTGCACGAATCGGTTGGGTCTCCTTGGGTCTCACCATCCACGAACGGTTGGGACCGGGAGAGACCGCCACCGTCGACACCGTCGAGACCATGTGACGAACGGAGACTTTCCTACATGTACTCGGTCAGTTTTCTTTCTCGGTCATCGATGCCAAAGCGAATTAATATGAACATATATGAACATATATGAACTAAGAAGCACATATGTAACAATGTACATCATCATATAGCTTTCTCAAAGGATTCACCCAAATCACCTCAGCACCTGACTGTTGCCCTATGCTGGGCACCCGGCCGGACTCCGCCTCCTTACTCAGGGCCGGAGCTCATCGAGCAGCTCATGCGGAGCGCCTTGGGGAACCCGGGATCTGCCGTGGCGGCGCAAGGCTTCCTGTCGGTGCCCGGGCTTTTGGGCGAGTTGGTGAGCTTGCAAGAGCAAGGTGGGATGAGGGGATGAAGGGGATGAAGGGGATGAAGGGGACGAGGAGGCTGAAGGAGACTGATGGTCTGGAGAGGAGATTGAAAGGCGTTCAGCTGCGCATGGGATTGAAGAGCAGGCTGGAGAGAGTTGGTTGAAGTTATATATATATACCCTAGGCTTCCAACAACCATTAATTTAATAGGCTTTACCAAATCAACTAAGGATTTTACACTACAAACACCAGGTCAACCATTTTTTAAATGGTCTTGGAAGTCTAGGGATATACACACTGTATTATTGTTATTGTTATTTTTTCAGATGTTGTCTATTTGTTCGGTGGTCACAAGACGCCTTTGGGCGGGTCGTCGATTCTTGTGAGGATTTTGGGTGGGTCAATACTCGCCGTAACGGTTATAACATGGTGGATGGGGGGGAATTGGGACTTGGTGGTTCAAACTTCAAACAGCTGGGGTGTCTTCCCTACCTTTGGAAGGATGTCACGCACAATTACATGGCTTTCAGGAGGGGAAGTCGCAGTCTTTTGCTCGGCAAGGCCTTCAGCGTCCACGGTACTTGCAAGACCAGGGCTTTTCTGCTGGGCCAGTGCTGGTGAGCTACTTGGGAGCCTTGCCTCGCTACTGGCAGCCCCACCAACCAACTCACCTTGGATGGTTCTCTTTGCCTGAGCTTTAATATGGCAATTCAGACAGTAGAGTCAATTGAAATCAGATGCTTGCGTAGCGTAGCTCCCTCTCTCCTTGTCCTTGCGTAGCTCCCTCCCTCCTTGCGTCGCGTCGCTCCCTGGGGCGCGGCCTGGGCGGCGCGAGCGGCACTTCTTCGGAGCTCAACGAGCTCCACGGAGCTCCGAGGCGTGGTCTATCAACGCGGCTTCTTCGACGAGCGGGTCTTCGAGTACGGCTCAGCCTGTCAGCAGTGCCGCTACCAGGAGACGAACCGTCGGGACCATCCACGGGACGACAGTCTGACGAAGCGTTGGGGATGGAATTCGATCAGTGTGAGAGACGTCCGTGCACTCTTGAAGAGTGCCTGAGTGAAAAGCATCTATTCAACTTAGATTGTAACCCCAAAGCAAGATACAGCTAAGTACATCATGTATTTAGCCGTGTGCGGCTTGAACATGACAAGGTGCTCTCATGTGCTCTCCCTCAAAACAAGTTGGCTGCCAAAGTGGCCTGCAACTAGACCTTCCACTCAAAGACATGTCGCAAGACTTGCACGTGGAAAGGCCCTTTTCTTTCGGACCCATGGAATGTTTCGATGTGCCAACCGCGAGATCTCGGGCTGCGTGGCCGGGGAACTCCTAGGATGACATGTGGTTCTCCGCCCACTTGGCCTTGAAGGGCATCCGGCGCTTCGTCTTGGGCGCGGCTCTGGGGGTGCAGGACAGGGCACTCTTGCGTTGGATGTATGTGACTGATGCGTCTCTTTGAGGGTGGCACTCTTGACGTACTCCCAGAATAGAAGTCAAAGATGTCTTCAAACCCATGGGACTTCGTCAGATCTCGTCTTTCGTCAGATCGTCAGATCTGGTTTCGGTTTGTTCAGTGATTCAGGGAACTCCATTGATATCTCCAGGAACTCACGGAGATGCACCTGGGTCCAGAGTGGGGCTCCTCAGGTCAGCATTGATGTGACCACGTCCTGTCGACGGTCCTCCAACCGAACGGCTTCGCAGATGTGTCCTGGAAATTCTAACATGGACCTCCTTGAAAAACAAAAAACACTCGCCTTTTCCTTTTCGCATCGGTCGATGACCTGCAGGTCACCCCTTTTTTGTTGGGGGGCATTGGGTGTCCAAAATCACGCAAGGCATGATTTTGCGGGGGACATGTCCATGATCTTCCAAACAAATATATTACCGTATCGGTTCACCTCACACCCGGTTTTCAAGGAAAATCCCGGCCACTTCAGAGAGGTCTCCTTCCCCGAACATGAGACACCCTCCTTCCACCGTGTTCCACCGTCGATCGGTCCGGGGGAGCGAAGCGGGCGGTGCGTCGAGGTCGCTCACCTTGTGGCCGGAGAATCGGCCGCGCAATGTGAGCCACTGGGGCGAGGAATCAGCGGAATGGGAGGAGGGTGAGGAGTGAAGGGTGAGGAGTGAAGACTTCATTTCTCTTTAAAGGGTGGGTGAGGTTCAAGAAGCGAGTGTTCAAGTTTTGTGAGCCTGGTCGCCTCCCCACCACAAGATCTGCAAGGCGCTAAACCTGCCAGGCTCAGAGATACTGGTATTAAGTATTAAGGGCATCCCTATCAAAGAAACATGAAGAAACCCGTGCAACCACGTGACAATCTCCAAATGTGCCCGTTTGGCCAGGAATCAAATGACGCAAACTGGCTCTTACCCCTTGCTGGCACGATCAGTAGTATTTTGATGTATTTTGATTGCCAGAAAATGAGGTCATATCTGATTCTCCAGGTGGGTCTCTCAGTGGCATCGAAAGTTTTTTTTGATGGATCAAGAAACACCGTCGAATCCCATATCAAATCTATAAGGATATCCAAGTTTGATGGATCGTTTTCTTCTTATACTCAACTTCAATATCCTTTTACGAAGTAGGGACCTATGGGGTGCCAAACTCTCAACTCTCTCCACCAAAGCTCGCTCATTTTGGTGTGCGTCGCTCACCTCCAAACCCGCCGGCCCGGCGGGTCCTAGGCGACGACTGCAACCAGTGCCTGGTGTCCGATCCTCAGGGGGGCTCGCCGAGGCGACGCACGAGTCAGTGACTTGTGAACCCCAAAGAATCGAAGGAAAAGGGGGGACGAGATGGAACCCAAAGAAAGCCAACCCGTCCCAACGACCTCGGGCGACTGGCATCCCAGGGCCCAGCGAAGCGGACTTTGGGCGTTCCGACGACGCGTGGTGCTGGCGCTGTCGGGGCTGCCGCCCGGGCACCCCAGGGACAGTGGTGAAACGTCCGGGGTCAGGGGTCAACACTTCTTCAGCTTTATGATGTTTTGTGAGAGGAAGTTTGGTCTAAAACTTATATAACACTTCTATGCAGGAATGCAAGTCATCAAGAATGCACAGCAGGACCGTGGACCTCCCTCCTCTTGATCGATCCTGGCACAAAATTCTGTCAAGGACTTGCACCGCAGTCCAAAAGAAGACGAGGATGTTGCGAGGGCAGGGCTTGCCCTGACTAGGAAGGCTGACTGTTTCACCCCCAAATCATCACGAACATCCCAACGAACACATCAACGCTGGGGCTGGTGGCTCTGAAAAAGACCGTGCAGGTCCGCACAAGGCCTTCCTGAACAGGCCATACTGACGAGCGGAAACAGCACGGGTCATGTCTCATGTGCTTTTCTTTGAGTACATGGTAGATCAGCTGAGTTTTTGATCCAAGGCACCATGCGGAGGGAATGGAATGTTTTGGAATCATCGAGCGTATTTGAAGTCTATGATGTTGATTTTATGGCAACTGATCATTGCGAATCGGCCGCCAACAATCGGTTTCTCTCCTAAACCACCCTTCTTGCCGTCCTTCGATTGTTTTGCCTCGGCGGCAGGTCTCCCCCGAGTGGCAGTCCTTGCTGGCCAGCCTTCGAAGGTGGGGGCCGTAGCCTCTGTGAACGCTCCTCGTCCTCGTCCGAAAAGATCCCCCACCTCCAGGCTGTCAGCCATGCCGGACCTGGTTTACCTCTGCACAGATGGCTGGGAGGCGGAGGCCTGGTGACGTCGGATTTCGGGACCAACGACTGGGGCGTTTGGACCGTCGGACCTTCCGGAACCTTTCACAACCTGCGAGTTATGACGGCTGAGACGCCTTCGTTCCATTCTTGACAGAAGTCGGTCCAGAGTCCAGAGAGTCGTTTTCCAGCATCCTCCCTTGCCTCAGGGGAAGTTCGTGGTGGGGAGCCTTTGATAGCAACGGATCCGGCCGCGACACGATGGTCGGGGGGGTCTGGGTGGGTTGGTACTCCGACCTTTGACATCAAGGTCACTGGAAGCAATTCAAACCTGGTTTTGGCGTGGAAAAGTCCAGTGCCACGCCATGAACACCACGGACTTTAATTCGTCCACCGAGCTACCTGAAGTCTACATGCATCACCCCTGACTGGCGCCCCTTCAGGACCTCTTTTCTCGTGAACGAGGTCTTGATCACGGGCTCGACCGCCCGGGGACCTTGGACGTTGAAGAGAAGGGCCGGGCTCGCGGTGCAAGAGGAATAGACACTCCATACCAGACACTCCATATCAAGCATGTAAACCCAAAACGCACCCTTCGGATGGTGCTGGTATATGGAATGGAATATGATTCAACATGATACTTACCACTGCTTACCATTGCAAGACTGGAGTGCCTGAGACTGGAGCTTCCACCATTTCTGGAGCTTCATTATAGTTTCACTCCCATGCTCTCACTGGCTTGAGGCCTGCAATGCTCACGCGGAGGCGCGTGTCTCCTTGCTCCTGCGAGACTTGCTGCGTCTTGGGCTGCAAGGGGAGGAAGTTAAGCGCGGAGAAGCCCCAGGAAATTCCCAAACAAGGTGGCTTTGGCATGAATTTCCCTCCCTCCAACAAACATGAAGTGGACAAAGGCCCCGTTTTGCAGAGGAAAATAGTCTTTTGAGGGGCCATACCGAGGGTTGGAGGGTCATCAAGAAGAAGCCACCTGCGGCGAGGAGATCATATTCTTCTCAGTCCTAGAAACCTTTTGTTGATCCCATGTGTGACAGGAAATTCTTGCTACATCTTTGTATACTAGAAACATTAAGCGACATGAAACAAGTGGTTTTGGTCACAGGTTGGGGCAAGCCTGAAGGACAGATTTCGACCAGTCTATGAGTCTATGAGTGCTTCGGGATGAACCCTCATTGATCATTGGGTGTGTCACTGGGTGTTTCGGCGGGCTTAAGGACGATACCCCAGGCTTTTTCCTTCACTGTTTGTTTGTTTGCTTGCTTGCTTGCTTGCTTGCTTGTTTGTTTGTTTGTTTGTTTGTTTGTGATCCCATCCGCCTCCATTTTGCTTGGGCATTGTGTAAAGCTCATCGACTTGAGTATGATTGGATATTGAAAGGAGCTGTCAGTCGTTCCCGCCAGTTCGAGGAGGGGATTTGATCCAAGTCTTTGCATGCCCCTTTCAGCTCACGGAGTGACAGTAAGCCCCGGGAAGCCGGTAAGCGTCACTCTCCACGACCGGAAGACTTCGGCAAGACTTGTTGGCTCTTGGAGATTGATGCCATACGCCAGATTCCAGATGCTGCTTCACCCACACTGCCGAGAATCCGCTCCTGGCAGAACAACTGCAGTTTCTTTATTTTATTTTGTTTTTTTTTTTTCCCTCTCTCTCTCTCTCTCGCTCTCTCTCTCTCTCTCTCTGTCTGGACCCATGCCATATGTAGCAACCCCAAGGAATGTCGCCACCGAGCCACTACCCCAACAGAGAAAGAAGACTTCGCCTTCCCCTGAACACCTGCGGCCCCCCCTGCGGAGCACCGCCGGGGTTGCGGAATCCGCGCCATGATGAAGATTCCCGTGCAGTTGGTGAGTGGCTTGGATCATTTTAGATCGAGCCACAATGTGATCCGGGTTCAAGGCAGTGATCGCACAGGTATACTTCACTGGACCTACTTGTAGTCATCCCATGAGGATCAAAGGCAATTCTTTCTCCCAGAAGCCATGCATCAGATGGGGCGAGTTCTCCCAAGGCTTCGATCAAATCGCTTCCACCGGTCCCTCTGCGGCATCCCAAGTTCCGGTCGCAGCCGCGAGACCTCGCCGCAGGTGGGGAAGTGGCACTGGTCGAGGCGTCGCCCGAGACCACGATCTCCGAGTTGAAAGAACAGCTGAAGGCCGCGATCGGGACGCGACCGGTGTGGGGCGGGCTGCGCGGAGAACGAGGGGGGGGGGAAGAACAGTGATCTATGATGCAGGGTACCCTGCCCCATGAGGCGCAAAGGAAAACATTCCTTTAGAACCACGGAGCCCCCGGTTCATGTTAGCATTGGAGGGGAGTACAGAGGCCAATATTTTGAAAAATCTAAGCCCACGACTGAGGTCAACGTTTGGGTGGTGGGTGGCCTCGACCAATCTTGGGAACGCATTTAGCTGCGACACCGTGGAACACACGAGCCCCACTAGCCCGAAAAACGCCTTCTCTAACCTTGGGTTAATTTGAGGTCTCTTGGGGTCGTTGTACTATTTCGATCCACCATGATCCTCCCAAAAAAGTCCGTTTCTTTACTTAAACCAGGTTTGGGTGGGGGTAAACCCGGGTTAACAATTGAAGATCCCTCCCCAACATGCCAACATGCAGGTTTTCTTCCACATGTGTTCTACCTCACCAGCACCTCTTCGGCGTGGCGGCGTCCAGCGGTCTCTTCGAGTTCCGGCCCCCGAGCCCAGGCGTTGCAACCAACGAAGGATGAGCTGACGCGCAAGATGACCCACGTGGAGCTGATTTGTGAAGGTCACCTGCTGCAGGACAACAATGTCACTGTGACTGGAGCAAAGATCTCTTCAACGTCGGAAGTGCAGGCGCTCTACCGCATCAATGTTCTGGAATGCAGCTGCAACTGGTCTGTTCAAATGCCAGCGTTTGATTTCGGCTTCGAGACGTTTCTGGGAATTTCTCGGTGGTTAGTGATTCCACAGCTCAGTTTCAAGCTAGGTTGACCC